GGCAGGCGGCAATCAAGGCACAACAATCCACAAAGCTCTCGCCCCGGACTCAGACTCAGACCCAGACCCTTCTTCTTCCGCTCTGTCGCTTTTCCTTTCCTTTCACAGGGAACAGCAAAACAGCACAGTTTGTCTGCCCCAACGGCAACGAACGGCAGCAGTGGCAACAGTTGCACCAATGATGCGATGAGCCCGGGGCCCTCAATGTGCACTACATGGATCGATGGATGGGATGGGGGCGCTAAGGAATCGAAGCAGGAATTCAATGGGGAAAAGCAGGAAAACGCAGTGCAATTATTATTTTTATTTCGGAAGTAAACTTGAGGTAGTCCCCAGATGATGATACAACTAAGTATGCGGACAGATGGCAAACTATTGGTATTGCAATTCAATTAGTTCTCTTTGGTACGTTCTGCTTCATAATTAGAGGGTTTCCGTAGAACATATGCATAGCATATATGGTATTCAAAGTCGGCTGAGTGCTACTAAGTACTAGTTCGATTGTATCATAGGAATTCCTTGGCACTCAATTTGAATTATTTTCTTGGGGTGTTTCAACTTCTACTAGTCTGCTCCTCAATTTCGTTTTCTTCTTTATGCACTAACTTACCTTTGTTATCCACATTTCTTTCATCTTCTCTGCTGACTTTTCTTCCCCACTCCCCACTTCCCCCTCTCTTCTTTGTTGTGTGTTCATTTCTGTAACAGTTTCTTGCTCTTCATTTTATGCGTTTTGACGCGTCACCTCCATAAAAACCTCCACCGCCATGTATCCCACCTCCTCTTAAATTGTTGGACAGGGAATTTTTATCTTTTAATTAAAAGTGATGCGACTGCTCCTTTAATTTGTCCTGTCAGGAGGTGGAGTGGAGCATCCCCAGACGTGGCAGGACTATCCTCGGTCCTCTTCACCATGTCCCTTGCCCATATGTAGGTGAGCATTAATTAAGGATTTTACGATTGTTTCCCATGTGGAACATGGCAGAGCGGTTCCTGCCACAGAGCCTGAAAATCTGAAGCTAAAAGAAAATCGACCTCTCCCCGCATTTTGTTTTATTTGCTGACTCTCGGATATATACACATATGTATAAATGTTTATTCATATAATAAAATAAATTAATTATATGTTTTTCAAGTGGCTCGGCGCATGGCGGCAGCTGCTTTTCACTCATTTTCCTCTGGCAATTTCCTTGGCCATGAAAGAGAGAGAGGAAGGGATCATTAGGGTTCAGCCGAGAGGCTAATTGACTTTCAGCTTTTGCGGCCCTTTTGTTTGTGGGAAGATGATGGCAGGGAGATGTGGAACAAGCATATCCAATGAAAGTGCTCCAACAATCGAAGAATGCAAATGCAGCTCGATGAATCCTAATGGAATGCGTGTGTCTAGATGACTTTGTGTCTGTTCTTAGTAATTTACAGATGAATAGATACCCAGATCGTATAATATCAGCAACCATTGACTAGACATTGTTGAGCACTATCTGCTGCTGCACTATCTTTTCTAGGTTTATCTGTCTTTCGTCCCTGCTATCTATACAGCCTTATATTCAACTATTTCTACACCCATCTATCGCTACATTCCTTTAGTCTGTTCGTATATTATCCATCTACATATATTCTCTTTCCATATTTCACGCACTAAAATGCTTTGCTCTCTTTCCTTCTCTTTACAGGTAAGAAAACTTCTCCGTCTGCCCCCTACTTTTTCCCCCTTTTCTGGATTTCCCGAGTAAGTTTCCATTCAGACAATGTATTCATTGTTCCATTCATTCATTCATTCGCTCCGCATCCGATCCGTTGCGTACCTCTCACTCCAAAACTCATTTCCACGGACTAATCGGAGGAAAAACAGAAACATTCTCGCACATACTCGTACATATCCCTCTCTCTCTCTTTCTATCTCTGTGTGTTTCTGCTTCTGGCCAAGTTAACGCACAGCAGAGCACAGCACAGCACTAAAGGCTAAAGAGCACACACAGAGAAAAGAGCAAGAAAATATATAAAATAAGACACAAAGATACACACACAGGCACACATGGCCATCTATCTGGTGTATGGTGTATCTGTGTGTGCATGAACAAACAGTTATTTATAAGTTTTTCTGGCAAAAAATCAGCAACTTTTTCCGTTGATCTCCAAGTATAGAGCGTTGGCGCTTTGCCAGAAGCGAATTGCGCATACGCCGTATGGTCCATCCACTGAATGTCTCGGTGTGTGTGTCTTTACGAGTATGTGTGCCATGGTATGCCCCTCCACACTGCTTCAGCCTTCTGCCGCTCACATCTGGAGAAACTCTCTTACGGAGATCTACTTTTCTCTTTGGTTTTCTGAATGTTTTTCGCCGTCTCTGAAAGGTCAGGGCGGCCCACTTCCACTTTCACTCCCATCCCTACCCCCTCCTACCAGTCCCAGCTGCCAAATTGTTTGTCAGCTTTTCACATTTTCACATCGCATTTTCATCACATTCGTTGTGAATGTGTTTTCTTCTGGCTCATTAATTTGTGTCTAATTAGTTTTGATTTTCGTATGTCAATTGGTTGGAACAAGGACTCATCATACCTCTCACCATTCCCCTCCATCCCACTCACCACTCCTGGCATCTCATCTTGCCACTTTTCCGACTTTTCTGACTTTTCCGACTTGGCTTTGGCAAAGAACTTGGGAGATGGGAGATCAAAGAATGTGGCAAATAAATGTTAAATAAATATTAAATAAATACTAGAAATTAGTTTGGTTTTAGGTGTGAGTGCTTCCCTGTGCTCCGGTCCCTCTTCCACCACCGCTCTTCCTCTTCCTCTCCCTCCTTCCCTTCCTACATCTGCGACAGCTGTCGGCCAATGCCAATGTGAGAAATTGACTGTCTGTCCGGCATTTAAAGCGATTTTCAATAGGAGATCTCTCCTCCCCCCCGATGGCTGCGATCCAAAAATGTTGCAGCCTCCATTCTCTGTTCCACTCGAATGTTCCCCCTTCCCCACTATCCCCTATATGTAGGATCCATTCGTTGACCAAATTTGGTCATCGCAGAGGCAAAGGCAGATGCAGATGAAATGCAATCAAATCCAACAGCAAGAGAAATCCATTTTCCCCAGCATTTTCCTCTGCTGGGGTTTCTTTTGTTGTTTTTCTTAATGTTGTTAGCTTTGTTTTTGATACCCTTGCACTGGGGGGTATGATGACTTTCAGAATATGTTTGGCACGCAGAGAGGGATAAATAAATCTTCAAACCTCGTCTTTTAGCTCCCATGATATATAGAACTAAAGCAAGGCCCGATTTTTTAGGGTATCCACACTTTCGACAGTCGATGCGATGCCTTTCTTTGTCGTTCTTTTGGTTGTTGCTCATCTTGTTCGTTGTTGTTCTTTTGAAAGCTTCAGACATTTTGGCATGCAATAAAAACAAGCCCAAAAAGCAGCAGCACAGAAATGCAGCAGATGCCCCTGCAAAAGGAGGAGGGCAGGGGCAAAGGGGCAGCTTGTTGCACAGTGGAGGGGCAGGCAAGGAACTAGGGGCCGAATGGGCCTGGCATTTTGGCCAAGAGCCAAAACTTTTGTCCGAGGACCAATGACTAAGGGACTCTGTGACAAGCGGTTGCTGCTCGGGGCACCCTGCCCCTACTGCTTTCCCCTCTTGTTACCCCTTCTCATTTCCTTCCCCCTTTTCAGCTGCCACCGCTAAATGGATGAAATAATGTATTCATTTCTTCGGATGGCAATTGCCTGATGGTCAAGCATTTAACACTTCCCCCAAGAGTCAGAGGGGAATGAAAATGGCAGTGGAAATGGGTACATTAATGGACTGGTCACTCAATTGGATGATGATGATGATGAGGATGGTAGGGAAGGGGCGGGAAGGTAAGTGAGGCAGAAGACCTCTCGTTCAGGGCTAAAAAAGCATTCAATTTTGAACAGATTTGACAAGAAGGGAGCCCGAACAGGAACCCAAATAAAATCTCTCATGATATCTTTTCTATTTTTTCATCCAAAGAACATTTATTCGTTTAATTTAATTCGATATCCGCTTCGTTATTTTTGTTCGATTTCCATTTCCATTTCAATTTCAATTTTCGTTTTCCATTTCATTGTTTCAAGATCTAGCTACAAAGTTCGATACATTTTCGGGTTTCATTTCGATTCGTTTGGTTGGGGTTTAGTGGGAGGTTTGCTTAGCACTTAGCCTATCGATTAGACCGATCGATTAAATACTCAATCGATAACTAACTCTATTATTGTTCGAATGTATATATCATATATGTATATGTATATCTATGTGTATAGGCATATATAGACCTTAAAGTGTTCCATTATGTGAAAGATTTTGTTTGTTTTGTTTTTCGATTAAATACATTTTGATTTACTCTTCGATATGATGGGAGGTTTCCTTCTGTGTTTTTCGTCTTTTTATGTGGCTGCTCGGATGGAAAATTCCTCTCTTTAAACGGAAAATGTAATTTAAAAGCTTGGCCTCCGCCTCCGCCTTTGCTTAGTGCTTGGGAAACATTTGATGAAACTTTAATTTCCATTTGGACACACTGACAGCAATCAGTGGAAGTTGCAACACTCCTTGAAGCTTGCCCCTCACCCTCAGAGCTCGATTTAAGCGCTCCTTCTGCTGGAAGGGGGTCAAGTGTGTGTATGCCCCTCAAGCGATTGAGAGTGAGAGAGAGAGAGAGCTCTGGGCTCAAGTGCTGTGCAACAAGAGGCGGCAAACGCAGGCTCTGGTTCTGGTTCTAGCTCTGCCACAAAGGAAAACAATAAAACGGTGCGGCGTGCCAAAAAGAAAAACAACCAAAAAAATGGCACAAAATATATAACAAAAATATGAAAAGAAAAATAGGAAACACCAGGCAAAGAAAAGCAAAGAAAAGGCTGCAAGTGCGGCTGGAAATCAATAAAAAGCCATCTGCCACGCCCCAGTGCCTCCCCCCTCTTGGCACTTGGCAATTGTTCTGGCTCACTGCCGCAGGAGCAGGCCAAAACCCCTGACCGATAACCAGAGTCCTCCAAGGAGGGCCCTTAAAAGTAGGCAATGAAAAGTTAAAGCCTCCGCCCAATAAAACGTATTGGGAAGGGGGAGGATGTCGCCTCGAATTGATTGATGCCTCCTCCAGCCGCCGTACATCATCATTTTACTGCAGCAGAATGCGAATTAAAATTAAATAATCCGGAAAAATGCACAAAAAAAATGTTAATGAAAGACAAACAAAGGCGTGGTGGGAAAAAGTGGGGGAAATATGCGGAAAATTATGAAAATTTAATGCGGCTTCATTGGGCGCCTCTTTTGGCTGAATATTGTTGCAGTTTTTCCCTTAGTAATTTTCGCCCTTTTCATGGCGAGACGACACTTTGGAGTGGAACTTGTCGCTGCGGTTTATTGTTTGCAACTTTCATTGTATGTGTGAGAGAAAGAGAGAGATAGTATCTGTGAGTGGAGTGTGTGTGTTTATGTGTGTGTGTCCCCAGACTCCCGTTACTAATTAGCGAGCAACCTAGTTTAACAGTTCTTCAAGGGTTTATCATCTAAGCCCCTAGACGACTGCCGAGGCAGTCAGTGCCTCCTGCTCATCCTTAAGTGAAACTTTCTCCCACCCGACGACCCGCTGCCATTTCTTATTAAATAGAAACCACGGTGGCCGCTTGACTTTTGCTGGCCTTAGTGCCCCCATTCCCCATTCTTTACCAGTTCGTCTTCGTTCCTAGACAAATATAATCTCATTCTTGTCCGACTTCTGGGCGGGCGTTGGCTGGCGCTGGAACGCGTATACGTTAACGATTAACTGCGCCATGAAAATGAAGCAAAATAAAACGATTAGAACTAGATACAGAAAGATATCGCGCAACATTTCTAGCTGTCTCTCTCGCTCTCGCTCGCTGTGTCTCTCTCTCTCTCTCTCGCTCTCGCTCTGTAGCTTTATCTCTATCGCTCTATCTGCCGCAGAAGAGGCCGAAGCTCGAGACTCCAGAAGCAGGCACCAGATGGCATGACTCCGTCTCCTCTTTCTCCTCCTCCTCCGTCTGTGCTTCTGCTGCTGCGGCTGCTGCTGCTACTGTTGGTGATGGTCTGGGTCTGGGTCGTCTCATTGCCTCATTGCGGGTCCCAAAAGAGCAGCTGCAATGAAAAGAAAGAGGAAACGCGTTAGTGAAAAGCGGATGGAAATACGCGAGGAGATTATTCATACACATTCGGAAAAAAAACGAGATAGGAGAGCAGAAACAGAGGGATCCACAGATGAAGCCTGGACAAAGGATCCCCCCCCCCCCCCCTCTCTGCCTTTTCCATTTTCCTTGTGGAAACACGACAGAGCTGACAGACGGAACGCATATTACGCATTCGCCGCATCAGCCCCAGCAGGAAGCTGCCAAAGGACGGCATTCTGATTCCCATGCCCCGCAGATGTTGCACAATTGCATTACATGTTGCCACAGATGCCATCTCTTCTGGCTGCGTTCATTGTTGCATATTTGTGCGGCATGTTGCCCAATATGTTACCCCCCCACCCACCCCGAATGAAAGAAAGGAATGCCAGCTGCAGAAGGTGGAGCGGTAAAAGTCATCAGGGAAAGGAAATTAAACAAATGAAATTTAAACATAGGGAATGCACTCGAAAAGAGAGCATTAGAGAACACGGCAGCTCCTATTTCCGCAGGAGCTGCATGCCCCAAATGCATTTGCAGTCCACTCAACCAGACCCTTTGAGGTGACTGTACCCACTCTGCACCACTCCCGTGTCCCCCCATCTTCCGCTTCAGTCCACTTCAAACACTCTCAATTAGTGGCGGGGATTGGATGGCATCCGTGGGCTAAACGGTGTCAAAACGGTAGGGTCGAAGGTTAGAGCTGCATTTGCATTCATGGATTTGAATGGGGTATGCAAAGTGCATAATGCGGAATCCTTAGTGAAATCAGAGTCAGGAGGAAGGAGGTTCTTCCTTCTGTCCGGCTTTCAATTAAACGCTTATCGCGGGCACAGCAGTCGCTGAATAAGAATTCCATGCCCCCAGCCATAGGCATAGGAATAGGCACAGGCCCTGCCCTCGACCTCCCCCAGAACATCCTTCAAATGGAAAACAATTTTCAAAGGCCGCTGCTGCTGCTGCTGCTTCTGTTTTTCCCCTGGAACGTGGCAGCGGCTCGCACATCATTAGGCCCTGGTCCCCAGAAGGAGCAGTAGCAGGAGCAGGAGGCGCCACTGCCTTGAAAAACAAAGCGAAGAAGCGCATCAAAGATTATGAAACTCATTAAAAAAGTTTCGGGGGCAACAAATCTAACAACTAGAGGAATGTGTCCCTCCTGTGCCCCCCCCCCCCCTCTTCACATAACTTAACGTTCAAAAAAAAAATAACACAGCGACTGAGGAGAAGGGTCGGGGGAATCCTGTCCACAGCCAAAGTCCGAGTGGGATTTGTGTCCATTTCTTTTTGGGACCCTATTCCTCGTGCCTCGTGCTGAAACTTTTGCTGACCAAAAGAAACACAGTGCGAGCCATGAGGAGGAAGGAGCCCAGTCCACAAGATGCCCTATAATGCTAAAAGAACGAAAACGGACACTCCCCGAACTTCTTTGATCTATCCCTTATTCTTTGGCAAGAGTTATCTTGTATTTGAGATCGATAATCTTGGATAGCCTCAACGAAAATAAGGGTATGAAAGGAAACCAAGTCTAGGATATGTCTATGTGATCTGCTGCAAAGGCTGAAGTGTGGTGGTTGCCCTTAATAAAAATAACTAGGGACTGCGGTGTACCCTCTAATGGTGGGCCCCAAGGGACCAGGGTCCGCCTGTTGCTTAGCCCCCAACAACACGGAGAAATGGACTTTCCCTCTTGCTTTCTTTCTCCTTCATAAATTAGATGTCAAAACGCACACTAAAACACCCTGAAAAAAAACACACACATGTGGGGATATGTGTATATGTGTACGGGTATGTGTGAAAAGGGTCAAAGGGCAGTCGGGCGGCATAAAGTGGAGTTTGAGTAGGATTCCTGGGCTGCTTCTGGCAAAAGTTTCTGGGAAGACTTCCGCAAACTTATTAAAGCGTTCGAAGCCAAACAAATTGCTTGGCCAACAGAAGGGCTAACGCGGAGAGGGGGCAGGAATTTGCGAAAGGGTTTTCCACGAAAACTTGTCAAGGAATTGCGGCCATTAATTTTCAGTGGCGGCGCACACGAAATGCAAATGAAACTTTCGCAACGAGACGAAATGTTGCGACACAGTCGACAGTCGACCGTCAGCCGGCGGCGGCGGGGGGCCACAAAAGTCAATGAAGTGTTAAATATCCTGCGGTGTCAGGACAGCCACACTGCACACTCCGCCCCCTTGGAGAAGAAAGGTGATGTGTGTGTCCTGTCCGGGCAGACATTATCCTTTATCCTTTCGCACACACAAACCAGCACATGTCCAATTTTCTGCGGTATTCCATTTGCATTTCTTCGTGCTTTGTTTTCATAATGCGCACATCCTTGGATCCCACTGGAGGGAGAGTGAGTCCTTTTCATATAATTAAAGCCCCGCAACAATTCCAGACAAATTCGCGGCATAAATCACTCCTGCAATCTTCCCAGCAGCCGCAGCAGCCACCCACTCTTTTCCCTCTCATCCATCTGACCATCTGTCAGCTTCATTCATGAGTCGCGGGGATTCCCATTCATGGGGAAATACTCCGCTGGCACGCACTTTTATGAGGCATCCCCATTCCCCTCGTAGTTTCTGGCAATGTGTGGACCCAAAAGGAAGGACACGTTACCAATTTATGCTGAGCCGCTCGTAAACTGGCCAAAAGGCAAACAATTCCACTAACGAGTAAACTCTTTTTTCTCCGTGCGTTCAATTCCACGCGGCTAAGCTTGATGTCCGCCTAATATTCGCGTTTTATACGCTCTCGACTCGCTTTCGATTCGCGGCTTATTTACTTTCGTTTTGGTTGCCGCGATGCTTTCGGTTCGACGTGGCTAACGCGACTCTTGGCCAGGCTTTGAGGGAAGCCGCTTCTTATAGTCGACGTCCCAGCCGGACTCGGCTCGGAGCTGCTCGGGGCCCGTCCTTCGTCCTGACTTCGGCTACCAGTTGAGCTTCGGTTTGGGATTTCGGCTTTTGGGCTCTGATTCCGTTACGTTTCGTGCCGGAAATTGTTGTTCAACAAATGCAAAGCGTTCTCCGTCAACAGGCAGCACACAGGCCGGCCCGTGGAGCGGGTTCGGGGTTGAGCGATTGCTCCTCTTTAATATAATGTTTTGGGTCGGGCATGGCAATCATTGCGAAGTTTACTCAGAGCTCTGCTGAATGATCTCATTTGAATATTAATCTAACACAAGACTTTCCACTAGATTTGTGCGATCTTACTTGGATATGAGTAGAAAATGGCATCCAGCATTCAATGGAGGTTGGGTTTAGATTGAGTTTTTCACTCCTGGAAGATGATCTGCTTGGCAGTTGCTTGATCCATCTAACCATTATCTACCAGGAGACCAAACGAACTTCTTGAGGAGATATCCCAACGAACTCACCTAAATGGAATTCATCCAAGAAGCAATCAAGTAATCCACATCACGGGAACTCCTTTTGCCAACACCAGTTTCCCCTCCATTCCTTTTTGAACCCTTTGCCGTATATCTTATCGATCTGTTGGAATATGTAATCACCCTCTCCCCTCTTGCTTATTTGCATCTCTCTCCTGTGTTTTCCCTTCTGCCCCCTCCTCTGTCATGTTTATATTTTGGCCGCATCATAAGGCAAACATTTTAATTTGTTCTAACCAAAGGCACGCCCCCTCATGACAGAGGGGGCGGACAAATATTGACACTCGACAGTGGCCCAGGGGGCTCAAAGGAGAAGGGTGGGAGGGTGTGCACTGACCAAAATCAACGTTGACATTGCCCCCCAAAACACGCCCACCCCTCCGTAGTGTTCTATGAGATCCGACACTGATGACGCCAATCATGTTCTTGCCATCCCCCCTCGCTCAATCTTATCAAGATGCCATTGTAGAAGGAGGAGTGGGAGGTCCTTCCTCCCTGAATGTGCCGTCAGTTGGCGTGACAAGCAAGACTTGCCAGCAGGGCAGGCGTAAGGTGGCGTTGGGAGAGGCGGTAGTAGGCACAGTTTGTTATTATTTAAATCAGGAAGTCGAACGAAATTTCCGCCTCTGCCATGGCCAACAAATTGGCAGCTGACTTCCGCTGCAGCCGAAGCAGAGGTTGAGAACGGGCCTGGTTTCCCACTGCTGGCATTCCTACCGCCGTTAGTCGAGTCAATTAAATTTTCCCTTTAAGTGATTTCTGTCGCCATTTCGGATGGTCGCTTTTGGGCCCCCACTCGTGACATCCATTCCCCTTTCTCACGGAAAGAAAATGAGTGAAAATCGCCTGGAACCAGTCAAAACGTTTTTAGGCGTGTCGCTACGATATGATGCCCAGTACTCAGTATCCAGAAATAAAAGTGTTCGAAAGCCAAGTCCTCAAAGAGCCGAATCATATCATATATTGTAAATATATTTCAAATATTCACGAATATTTAATAGAACCGCCCGCATTAATTTCACTGCCAATGAATGTTTTTTTGCACTATTAAATTAAATAATTAACTAACTCTGTGATTCTCGCTATGTGTTTTAGGGAATAACATCTAACAATAACAATAATAATGATAATGATAAAGTAAGTGCACAAATCCGAATACTCGTATACTCTGAATAATTCAAGTGTATGTACATACATATGTATTGTGAATCTTGCATTCATCTGACTGATCGATATATTGGAACTTAAATTAAAATCACGATTTGTTTGATCACATTTCTTTCACTGTAACTTCACTTCCCGCGCCTAATTCTGTAACTTTTCTCCATGCTAAATCCTGCCGCTGCTCCTGTTCCAATTCCTGCTCCCGGTGGTTCGCCCACCTGTTCCTCGTGCTGTTCTCCTTCCATAATGAGAAATCGATGTGTTGTAATTTGTTCAAATCCAATTTGGTAGCAGAACTGAGACTCAAACTCTGAGACTCAGAGTCTGAGGCCGTATCCTCTATGGACATCCGCACCTGGCCCCAAGACCCCTCTTCAGCCCCCACTCCAGTCGCCGGCGGGGGGCGCACCTTTAATGAGTTTTTATTGCGCTTCAGGTGCTTTGATTGCTGCGATTTTTAACTTGATTTACGGGCATTTAGTGAATGGAAAGCAAGTGAGTGAGGAGTGTCTGCGGGGGAGGACAACATTTTCCGGCCCACTATTGATTTTTCAATTAAGCTGGACCTCCAACCGCCCCTTTTCCAATCCCCTCTCTGTCAATGCATTTTGCATGTTTTCGTTTTCGCGTTTTCCCAACATTTGTTTGAAAAAGGAAGACGTCTCTTTGTAGTGGAGGGGGCGCGAAGAGTACCACTGTCTTCTGTGGCAAGTTTTATGCGCCACATCCTGTGCACAAGGATAAAGGCAAGTGGGGAATGGGGTACGGGGTATGGGAGTAGTGGGGCAGTGGTATAGTGGTACAGGGGTACGTACCGCGTTGTAGCGCAATTTATGCGGTAATTGCTTTTTTAAGCGCTTCGCATTTATCTTTTCGACACACAAGTGAAATGAGTTTTCCGACTGCCTTGTGCAGCCGCCTGCCCACCACGTCCCTCCCCCTTCGCGTGCCTTTTGTCGATTTGCCAGAAAATAGGGATATACAAAGGATATCACAAGGAAAAAGTCGGAAACAACAAAAGCAGAAGCCAAAAACCAAGGAAGGACTCAACTACTTACAATGGCATTTTTATGACGTCTTCTATTTGTCTGCACGCCGCACGTCTGCCTCCGCCACCTATCCGACTCAGTGGCATGCCCCACCAACACAGGGAAACATGCAACGCTTATGGAAATGCCACAAGTTCTTGTGCCTTTCTCCTGTTTTCTCAAATTTTTCCGCCCTAATTAATTTAACGCCAACAAAATTACACAAGCAAAACCTGATAAAATGGCAATGAAAATGCTATACGAGGCGAGGAAAATAGTCCTCCGCCGACTGCCCTCCTGATTTATGGTGTGCATATTTTAATAATTTTGTAATTTTATGTGGCCATAAAAATTACCCGTATGGAAAATTTGTCATTTCCTGACAAAAGAAAGGGACGTTCGGGTGTTCTTTATGTGTTTTTCGTTGTCTGTTCCAGAAACGTAACATAAATTTGATGATTATAAATGCAATTATTCAGATTTGGCGGGTAATCATTATCAAATTTCCAGTCAATGCAAAACGTACGACAGCAAAAGCAGTGGCTCTCAAACTGCACTCAACTCTTTGCCGTTAACCCATTGAAACCCTAAAACCAAGCTTAAAAACTCGTCGACGCTGCTAGGAACAAATCTCATTTCTGCGTTACATGAATGAGCAAAATCGGAATTTCTAATTCCCATACCGTTTTTCCGCAATTGGATTTGAACTGGCAATATCGAGTTGGGAATTGTAAGGTTTCAATTGTCTAATCGAGAATTTTAATATACATTATAAAATATTTATAATTTTATTAATTGACTTTTACAGTGGGAAAAATGGAGATGATATATATATTGTTTTTTTACATAATAACAAAATATGTCTTGGCAAGCCCTCGGCGGCTTCCGCTGGTATTTTGAAATCGTTTTTAGTAATTTCGTGCCATGTTTGTTATTTGTAATGAAACTATTAGTAATGATATTATTATAATTATTTTCAAAAGAAGTTCAAAACGTAACTGGAGCACAATTTTTTGCGACGGCTGATAGTTACTGAAATATCGATAAGCACACAAAAGTGCCCAGAAATATACAAATTCAAATCAACACCGCAGCAACACAAGGAGTACCCATACCCATAACACATACCCTGCAGCCGCGGTCAACTGTTTTTTTTTTTTGCTGTCTTTGCTTTGACAGTAATTACTAGTCGTTCGCGCTACTCCAACAATTGAAATCTGTTAAACAATTGCTCGGCCTGGCTGATGTGGTGGTCGATACTTTAACTGAAAGAAAACTGATCCACTCGCGTGTGTGTCTCCCTAGAACCTAGTTTTCCAGAAACGCCTCCCTCCCCCTCCAGTGTGTGTGTCACGCCCAAAAACAAAAAGCGGTCGTGAAACTGGCGCGGGCAGAATTTTTGTGCGTGTCAAAAAGTTAAAAAAGACTGAATCAAAAGCAACAACAACAAAAGGAGGAGTAGCAAATTGCTGTTGTAAAAACGCTTAAAAAGTTAACTTGAACGGCGGAACCTTGGAAACACTCAAACATACAACAACAAAGAGAGGAGAGGCCATGGAGGTTAGTAGTCGTTGATTGAGGAGTACTCTCCTCCCTCTCTCTATCTTTCTCGGCTTGTCTTTTCGAGTGCCCAAATTGTTTTTTCATTGATGTGATGTTTGTTTTTGTCGATTTCCTTGAATGATTTCATCTCATTTTTGTTAATTTATTGTGATTGCCCGAGTTTTGCCGTCTCTCTCTCTCTCTCTGCCTCAATTAATGGGAGAGAGAGCACCGCACAATCGGATTACGTCAGTTTTGTTTGCTTCTCGCTCTGGCCTCTCTCTCGCGGGGTCTGGGCAAGGTATATTGCTTCGAAGGTTAGGCAGTCCAGCAGTCTGGTCCACCTTACTAGGGAGTTTTCCTTCACTTTGTAAAACCTAAGTCCGCTTAGGGTTTGTTTTTGAGCTCTGGAGTTTGCGCTCTCTGACTCGCCCTCTCTCGCACAATCCCACTCCCACCTCCCTCTTCACGACAAGAATATGGCAGGCCGGAGCGACTTCGTCATCATATATTTTTTACATTCAACTTCCCCTCGCTGTCTCTTTATTGATTCCGGCCATAAACCTCCTAATCATGTTTATTATGTCATCGCGACGCTTTCTTTTCTTTCTCCCTATCTCCCTCATTATAACTATCTTTTGTTTTGTGTGTAAATTTTAGCATAATTCGCATTTTTATAAATTTCCTCAGCGCACCCCC